CCTCTTCGTTGACGGCCGCAGGGCAGCGCCCCCCTGTTTGCTGCTGCCCCCCATCCAGCAGCAGCAGCAGCAGCAGCTGCAGCAGCAGCAGCAGCAGCAGCAGCAGGATGCATGCACTGCTGCAGCAGCGCAGCAAACAGCAGCATTCATACACGATAAGCAGCAGATGGGCCTCTGGCCTCTCCCCTGTCTCCACAGTCTCATCGGTTTCCCCTCTTGTTCTGCTGCTGCTCCTGCTGCTGCTGCTGCTGCTGCTGCTCCTGCTGCTGCTGCTCCTGCTGCTGCTGATCCAGACGCTGCTGCAGCGTCTGCTGCTGCTGTCCACCCGCTGCAGCAAGCGGCAGCAGAGAACACGGAGACAGCAGTAGCAGACAAAGACCTAGCAGCAGCAGCAGCAGGAGCAGCAGCAGCAGCAGCAGGATCGCCCCCAGCAGCATCTACAGCAGCAACAGGGGCTGCAGCAGCAGAAGCTAGGGAAACAACTAAACACAAAGGAGCAGCAGCAGCAGCAGCAAGAGTTGCTGCTGCAGAGCCGCCTTGTCACGCCGACGCAGACGCAGCCGGCGAGGATATGAGCAGCAGCAGCAGCAGCAGCAGCAACAGCAACAGCAGCAGCAGCAGCAACAGCAGCAGCAGCAACTCGTGCTGCTGCAGCAACAGCAGCAAATGCTGCTGCATGCACTGTGCTATAAACTATACGTCGCTGCAGCAGCTGCTGCGGCTGCCAGTGAAGGTATCGGCGTTGCCTCTGAATGCTCTGCTGCTGTTTGCGGTGTATGTACACGACGGCCTAGCTGCTGCTGCTGCTGCTGCTGCAGGTGCAGCAGCAGCAGCAGCAGCAGCAGAGACAGCAGCAACAGGAGATGGATGGAGACTGTTTGGGGTCGCTCTGATGCCCCTTCATGATGCTGCTGCATGCGTAAGACAGGGGAGGCAGCTGCTGCCGATACACCTGCTGCAGCACTACCTGCCGCTGCTGCCCCTCAGCAGCAGCAGCAGCAGCAGCA